AAAATCAGTATTTTTGAGAAATTATCTCTCAAGATTAGTTGATCCCAGAAATTTGGATCGTACATCGGATGGGCAAATAAAAAAGCTACAAAACCAGCCTAAAACAAAAAGTTTTTAATCCGTAAAAAAAAAATTTTTTTTTGGGAGTATGGGGTTTCTCGATCCTGTGGTGGACTCTCTCTTATATCTTCTTGAACTGATTTTCAAAAAAAAAAGATTAAAAACTTATGATTGTGATTCATCAATTGATACGATTAAAATTTTGATTGGTTTTTGATTTTATTGATTTTTCCTATTTTTTTGATTTAATATTGATTTAAATCAAAAAAATCAGCTGTTTTCCTCCTTGTGTTAATCTTTTATACTCATCGTCATTCATATGAAAGATCATGTTCAATGTTGCAACATAAATGTTGATAATGGTATTATACAAGTCTTAATTAGTAAACGTGGACAAGATCTTGATTCATATTCATATACAGGTGTTAAATAGAGTTTACATCATGATCAACAATTTGGATATACAACTACATTTACTAATCAAACATATTTACATTTTACTTATTATCATAATTGTAATGATAATATTGCTGATCAATTTATGTTTCAAAAATCATATTTTCATGTTCATAAATTCAAATTCGAGTTTTTTAAACAAGAGTGAATCAGATTATTAAGGGATATCTTTAGAGATTTGTTTTTATTTCTGTATTGGAAAGAAAAATACGCGTAACCAAAGCACTAATGGCAAACTTACTGAGAAGATAGCATTCGTTCTTTGTGTACGTACGTACACGGGACATTGAAAAAAGAAAAAATAGAAAAGAAAGAAGATATGTTACAGCGTGTGTAGGATGTGGTTGTGGGAGAGTGTGGGGTATGTGGCTGTTGGTGAAATCAATACTCACACCCACATCCACATCTTCACTTATACTCAACTACACCTCACACCCATACCCATTGAGATAAAAACATCAAGAGGATAAATTTCTTCAGACTTGCTGTCCAGAGTTATCAGTATTTTACTGAAATCTTCGCTTATGGCAACGTATATAACAATAAATAAAATGGTAGTATGTCGAGCTGATGTTTTGTCTACAAATAGGTCCATCAATGAGCCAAATGTCCAGAAAATTCCAGCTCGAAAGATGTTTCTTTCCAGAGATATCACAGCCCCCAAAGAAGAGACAATTCTAACATTTTTCATGCAGCATAAGGGATTTTGGGACCTTAAATATCTCGAAAAGGAAGCATTTTTTTGAGCTGAGGTTTTCAGGACATTTTACTCACAAATAGACCTATTTGGTTGAAACCGTTTCCATGTTAAATATGCACTAGGGCTTTATTAGTCAATGCCATTGTGTGAATACCTTTCATAGTACCGTTTTATAATTAAGTAGTTTCAATGGCTCATTGTTTACGGCAACTGATACAGGGAAATCTATATTCAATTCCGACCATTGCGATTTCACAGTGGTTCGTGGCAACAGTTCGATATGCAAAGCCACACCGCAAATAGTTCGTATTGAAAAGAGCAGATAAGCTCTGACCATTCTATTGTAACAAACGCTATCTGCTATTATGTAAGAATAACTCTCTTGTTAATTTTATTTATGAAATGAAATAAAAATAACGAGAAATATCATGTTGTAGAAAATGAAGAACAGTTTTCTTGAAGACTTCACTCAATAAGTTTAACTTTATAGTAAATCGAGTTTTTCTTCTTTGACACTCTGGTTCATTTGAATTCACTTGTTAAAGTGATCATAGTACACCACGAAGAAGAATAGTCCGTATCGATCATTTATATATATATTAGATTATTCAATTTTCTTCTCTTTAAAGTAATAAGGTCTTACTTTACAGTAACTGGCACATAATATGTATGCTATCAATTTTTTAATTTTATTTGATGCTACACAAAAATAAAGATGATACGTAGTTTTCTTTAAAAAAAGTGAAACAGAACTCGCTCACTAATGATGTGTTTTTCTGAAAAAAAGCGATGATTTCTTTCCAGACACGACGACCTCTTCAGTACCATGCGCGACATAGCTGAATAGGAGAAACTAAACAACCAGTAGAAGAAAACTTTAAGACTTTCTTTTTGATTTTTCAAATATTTAATATTTCTCTAATCACTGATGTGAAATTATTTTAGATCAAAAAGTTTTTTATTCAATCAAAATAGATATCCATTTGTAGAAGTAATAATAATAATTCTAAGTTTTTTAAACGTTAGAAGTTATAGATTTTGTATAATAAAGTGAAAATGCACAAATAATTGTGACAAAAGAAATAAAAAAATAAATATTAAAATTAATATGAAATATAAAAAAAGAAAGAAAAGCAGTTATAATCAAAGAAAATGATATAACAAATAATCTTATTATATTTGAAGAATATTTTATTATTACAGACATAATTAAACCATTTAATACTTGTGTAATTACAATTAACCATGTATAAAATGTAAAATCATGAAATAAATTTAAATTATTAATTGTTTTTGAAGTTGTTATCATCATACTAATAGCAGATATTAAATTAAGAAAAGTTCCATATGTATAAAGAAAAATATTTTGTAGATGAAGTGATTCACTATAATATCTTTTTAAAATCCATTCAATATAAACACCAGCAAGACCACTTAGTGTACAATAAATAACTATCATTGGGATACCTAATGGGTGTATATACATTTCTTGCATTGTTATAGTTGAATTGGTCATAGTCTTTGAAATAAAGGATGAATTTTTATATGTACCTAAACTATAAGTAAGACCACCAAAAAAAAGTAATATTAATGCAAACCATTGTTGTTTTATTAATCTCTTTTTCATAATTAAACGATAAAGAATAGCTGTTGTTAATATTTTAAAATTTGATAAAATTTGATAAGATGTTGGATCCATATAAATTTGTATATGTACAGCTAAATTATTATTTATAAAATAAAGAATAGCTGGTATTGAATAAAATATTGATTGTTTAAACCATGATAAAAATTGAATTTTATTTAAATGTATTTGTTCTAAACATATGAATGCATTAAGAGAAAATAATAATTTCATAAATTCAATTATAAAATTCATTGTTGCTGATGAAAATGTAATCACACCATTTTTTTCACATAAATGAACTAATACTGAATAAGAACCATATGCAATTATTTGAAAAATTATCATTACATAAAATAATATTGAATATGAACTATTTTTAATTCTTTGTTTTATGTTCAATGAATTATTTCTCATATACAAAAGATTTAATGATGATTCATTTTCATTATTGCTTGACAGAATAGAGCCAGACATGGTTAAACTAAAGCTAACACTACCAATAATAGAAGTTTTATGTTATTGATGAAGAGAAAAAAAGGAAAAAAAAGAGAAGCTGCTTTTCTGAAACAGAACAACCCGAGTTCAGCGATCTATCGTTATTCGGAGAAAAAAATAAAAAGCAGCGAGAAATGTTTGCTTCTGTTCTCTCAATACGACAAAAATGCAAGAGGAATATATAGTCTTATTATTATACTGATAATACGCATTAGAGACTAACTGTTTGTAATAAATTTCATTGTTCATTATGAAAATGATAAGTATCTATCTGATTGAATGAACCTGTAATCTACTTTCTAAAGCTGTTATAAGTCAATATTCGAATTTCATTGATGGATTACTGTTAAAAGACTAAGAGCAAAATTGCAGATAAATAATAATAAAACAACAGACTAATAAGATTTTTCTTTTTCGTTGTGATAAATATTATCATATTGAGCAGTATAGACTCTTACAAGGCTAGAAGTTTGAAGACCGAATGTCTGATATTGTTTTATCACATTATCATTGCCCATATCTTACTTAATAAACTTAAAAATTATATTCATTTCTGCATTGGTTTCATATTAATTCGATATGTATTTCACTTTTTTTTTGTAAAATTCAATCTAAAACTAGTGCTGAAGTTTAGTGATAAAAATTTGGAACCTCGACCAATCGTGATAGACATTATTGATATACGATCACAGACGATAGATCGATAGCGTCTCATCATTATATATGAAATACTTTCTTGCTGCACTCCTGAAGGTTTAAGTAAAGGACTAATGAAGAAATGTGTCTTAAAATAGATAGAATAAACCAATCTTTCTGTCATGACTAAGAGCAACTACATCCTATTTCACACTTTAATCATGCAGAAATCGCGTTAACAGCCTCTTTTTTTGGTTCATTTAATTTCTTGCTTTTTCTTGTCGCATATCTAATTGCTGTATTGATCTACTACATACATCAACTCATGCGAAATATAAGTTCAACTTAATTGTTATACGTTTATGAATTACTCGACAGCACTGTAAATCTTCATAATATAATTATTCCAGAGTCTAAAATCAACATATATACAATTTAGGACATTGAATGTGATAATAAACATATTTTACAATAATATGATGAAAAGAAAATTGGTACAAGTCTTCTCTGACAATATTAAGTTTTATATATATCAAAGACATCCAAGATAAATCAACAAAGAAAATAATAAAAGTTTTTTTTTGTCTCCCTTGGGATTTTACAACATTAATATTGAATTTCAATCTGACATAAACCTATGCGATCATCTTTTATTTGCTTAAAATAATAACACTAAAGAATCTAGTATTATATTCCATGTTTTCTCATCGTTACTCAGTAAATGATAGCTTCATTTCAAATATTATTATATACATATGAAACAAAATTGTTTAAAATTTTATTATCATATATCATTCTTCGTTTATAGATCATATTTATATACATTTATATGCAAAAAAGAAATTTCCAAAATAAATGAAAGACTTAAAGACATTTCGTTTTTTTTTACCTTACGCGTACTTTAAACGTAAGTAAAATATGCGACTAACTTAAAATTGATTCTTAGACATTTTATTTACAGAATAATATTGATTAGATACAAAACAAACAACTTGATTATATAATTATTTTTCAATATTAAAAAAATTAATTTTTCCAAATAAAAAAATATTTTTTTGTTTGAAATCCATTAAAGTTCGAAGCACTTGCATTTGTATATGAACCAACATCTGGAAACCACAAAATATCACCAATATCTAATAGTGGTAAATCAATTGAATGTGCAATACAATCAAGTGAATCACATGTTGGACCAAATATAACTGATCTAAATTGTGGAGATTTTTTCTTTTCTTGTTTCATTTTTAAATAATGTACAATAAATATTTTATGATCAAATATAATAGCATTAAATGTTCCATAAATACCATCGTTAATATAATAAATATTATCAGCATTTTCAATAAGTGCTTTTTCAGATTTGGAATTTCCATCATTATTATCTTTCGATGAATTTGATGTATAAGAAATATTACGTTCAAGTTTGACGACGTTTTCATTCGATTTATAATTACGATTATGAATACGTCGAGCAATAATACGAGTGACTAATATCATACCTCCAGATGAAAAATAACGACCAGGTTCTGAGATTATTGCAATACCTATAAGAGAGTTTCTTTTTGTAGACTTATTAAATCTATGATGATAAATATTTGATAAATTTACCTTCTGATTCAGGAAATAATTTATCCAATGTATTATTAATTATTTTGGCAAATTCGGGAAAACTTGGTTTATCCCAATCGTGACCTGAAAAACCACCACCAATATCTAATATTTTAAAATTAAATCCGAATTCATCTTGTTTAGCAATATCAAAAATACGTCGTGCTAATTTAAGCGATTCCGTGTAGACTTTAGGATCAAGACATCGACTACCGACATGAAATGAACATCCAACAAGTTTAATATTTAATTCACGAGCCAACCGAAGTAAAGCAATGCATTCTCGTTCGTTAGCACCGAATTTTGTTGAAAAAGGACTCATTGAATGTCTGTCATCAGGCTTAAGGCGAAGAAGAATCTATTTAAATGAGAAGAAAAAAAAAACACTAGTATAATCCAATGGAAGGAATTGTTTTGCTTTCTCTTGTTATATCTTCATGACATTTCTATTCATTGACTTACTTTAGCTTCAGGCCAATGTTCTTTTAATTTTTTGAGTTCATCTTCATTATCTACTACTGTCATTTGTACACCTGCTTCACGAAATTGTCGAATATGAGATATAGCTTTGCATGGATGAGCAAATATTATACGTGTAGCATAGTCAAAATTATCACCACATGTTTCACGTACTAGATTGAGTTCTTCTGATGAAGCACAATCAAAACCACCACCTAATTCTGCAATAATTTTAATGATGAAATTCTTAGGATTGCTCTTAACTGCATAAAAAGGATGAATACGACCAAGAAAATGCATCCATTGCAAATATTGACGAGCATAATGAGATAAATTAACAATATAAAATGGTTCATCAGAATCGGACGAAAATTCTTGACAACATTTTCTATACAAATAAAACATTATCAAAATGATTATAGAATTCGATTTTTTTTTTCTTACCTGACAATAGATGCTGTAGATTGCTCGTAATTAACATGTTTGGCACCTAATTTTGTTTCAAATAGTTCTTTAAGATGATGAACTTGAAATCCTTGTTTTCGTTTGTTAACTTTTATTGCTTGTTCATCTTGATCATGACATAAATCATGTAGAATTTCATCAGCATCTTTAAAACTAAATTGATGAGTTATATTAGTGCCTACTGGTTGTTCAGTATTATCATATTCATTATTATCAGCTTTTTGGGAATCATTATAACTTGTTTCAGGCTTCGATGTTTCATGACAATGATGTTGATGATCAGTCATGTTTGATTTACATAAATCTGAGAAAGAATGAAAATGACAAAGAAAGAGAAAAAAACTCAAAGTAATAGTAGATGCAGTATAATCATGACACATTCTCTATTGTACTTGCTGACATTGCTGTTATTTATAAACTCTTCATAGGCACGTATAAGGAATATTATACACTTTTGGAACGGTTTTAAAATTCACTATTTTCGCATGAAGAAAAAGCAAAACTCTTGAAACTTTGGCAGATTATTGTACCTATTTAATACTCAAATAACTACAAACAGTGAGACCTATAGTTTTTACTGTAGATGAGCATTTGTAACAATACTATCACTCATTAGTTTTTCAATTTTTCAATATCTCAAGCTGATAAAATGTAATACAAAAATTGTAGGACAAATGTTGATCGCACGGCCTTCTTGATAAACACGTGTCGAAGCTAAAAATGTTTCATTTGCGAACATACATATATATCTGCACGTGTCGGATGGGGGGTTATCAAGGTTACAATAGAAAAGAAAAAGACAACAGCAAAAGCATTAGTAGATGATTTATGAAATGAAATTTTTCAAAACGTTCAAAATCCTAAAATAAAGGATGTACGTAACTTTCGATACCGTCGATTGTTGTAAAATTCATAACCAAGATGATGAGAAAAGTTAAAAAAATAAATAGATATAATAATCTGCCAAGGTTTCAAAGAGACAATGGATTTGAAAACCATTCCAAAACTTCTATGACATCCTTGATAATTAAAGTGCAATTATAATAATATTATTTACTCTAACATCTTATTTATAAACCACAATATCTCTAATTTATCTGTAAAATGTTATTGATTATTTTTGAGATTTTTTCTCGACATTGTATCGACTAACCAGAAATAATTTTTCGTTTAATACATCACAATGTTTACCATATCGAAAAATCAAAGTCATTTTTTTATGTGTTTTCAAAATCTTAAAAGGGAGAAAAATAAAGAGCACAGTTATACAAAATGTATAAACAAATCTAATTATTGCACGTACTGATTTCGTCAATCTTTATATTTATCAAAATTGAAAAGTATTAAGCAGGCAACGACATAATCTCTGTAGCACTTGGAAAAGCATTATAAGATATAAAAATAGTATTTATTTGAGAATATGTCAATTGAAAAAATTTAATGAATAAACACAAAAGGAATTTCTACATAACAGTTATAACTGTCTGTTCATTTAGTGCTCAGCAGAGCTACAGACTGAGACAGCGATAGATAATAAAATGATTTTTTCAATTTTTCAAGTCAATTACTTCGTATTAATTCCACTATTTTCTTTTGAGCAAGTAACCTCGTAGAATATTATTTCTACTCAGAATTAATGTGTTATTGACGAATATGTGAACTTATGACATTTGAAATAACAAAGAAATATTAAATATTCATAATCGAATTTCTTATGATTCGAAAGTTCAACGTGCAGATATATAAAAGAATTTCTACCTTTTTGTGTTCATTTTTTCGATAAAAATAATTCGATAATGAATTGTATCAAGCAATTATAACAGAAAATAATAGAAAATCTTTCATATTTTAATAATATAAGCCATCGTACAATTCAGTTTGCTAGAAAAAGTATAGGTCTTATGAGAAGGAAAACCAGTGTAATTTTGACTGACGCATTTTTTTTTCTAATTTAATTAATTTTATTTTGCAATTTACTTGTAAAAAACATACGTTATCTCTATATGTATAATAATACTAAGTATCAATTAACGCAGAGTGATGCATAATTTTAAAAAAATTATATTTCTTCAATTGAACTCTCTAGCTATACAACTCAATCAATTAGATTATTCAGTTAGTTCAAATTACACATTTTAATAAATCTAATAAAGTTTTATTGCATAAGTGTTTTTATATTTAGTTTTGCTCTAATCAATAAACAATGAGAACTTTGCAATTTCAATATACATAAATAGCCCAAATGAATGAACTGATCAGGAATCATTGCATTCTCAAACAAACATAATTTCTCACATTTTTTATGCAATATGTGTTCTTTTTACAATTGTAGTAAATTTGATAATAATTTTTTTATTAATGTAACTTCAGCACCTAATTGTTTTAATACTTGAATCAAGTATATTTGACTTACAAACTTACATAACTTTCCTTAGATTCCCCACGACACAGCTAGCAGCATTTCAGTGTTAGTTAAACGTAGAAGGTTTAAAAATTTCGATGTAAACTAAACAATGTGAAAAGTTAGAATGTGAAAATCAAGTACATTCATGCAAGAACTAGAACTCTAATATGAATGCAGAATTATTCAAGGCATATAAACGCAGTGAATCATGGACACTGCAAAACATCGTTCAGGAAAAAATATCCAGCAATATACCAGCTTTATTTGTTCTTGTTGCACAAGCGCGTTATATAAAAGGCTCGTGATTGTTTGTGTCAGTGCTGCACGACTCGTCTGATTATGCATGTTATCACGTCGTCTGTATTAAAAATATATTTCCTGATCAAATTTATTTTACGCCAATTCAAGGAATGTTGATTTTTCTGCTTATTGTCGAACCGTGGTCAGGACGCCTGTCCAAACAAGGAAATATCTACGAGACAGTCATGAAATTCAGCAAATGTCAGTCTGGAGTAACGGTAATCTTACCAAATAAAAAAATGCATCAATTTCAATCTTTTACTATGTGTCTATAGAATTCATATATGTAACACTAGGTTACATACAGTTGCTACTCTTTAGTCATTCTCATGTTATAAAATAGACGTGTACATACGCAAATGTTTACACATATTTATATGAGAGTAGTATAGTTTCTGAATCATACTCATACGACTTTTTTTATGATTATTCAGGCTGTCTGTGGCAATAGCATGCATACTTTCATATTTTTTCTCGATTTTGTAGTTGAAATCTACTAAATTTTTGAAACGTAATGAATGTTTCGAATGCTAAGGTTTTAAAAAGAAAAATTAGCTATTGCTATTCATATTCTAATAACAACTTCAAAAAAAATCCAATATTCAAATAAGATATTTTTCAAAAATTTCCTATACTTTGCTCTCATAATAATAGATCTCGAAGTTATAATTGAAAAAATATTGATGATGGAACTATTCCTAAGAGCAAGACTTTGTAATAGCCTGCTCTTAAGGCTATTATATTTCGCAACAGTATATAATTTTCTATTGTTGCACTTATTCACATGACATTTATTGTCAATAAGCAAATATGATAATTATTTGCATCCTTAGATAACGTACGTGTTGCATACAATATATAAAGATGAGACATAGACAGATAATACGTCATTTTTATCAGAGTAACATCGTTGATGGTTCTTGATCTTGATGGCTCCATTTAAAATTAAAAATTTCAAATTTATCATCGTTGCATCACTTGGTTTCATATGTTTAACTACAACAATTGTTCTCTTCCTTATTGGTGGTATGTTTTATGCAGAAGAAAGATCCCGAGTATTGAACTATGCTAATACGATGTGTATAATTCACAGCATGCATTGGAGATCTTATAGATGTGTATTAATCTTTGTTCCATACTCTTGTCATGTGGCAGCATGGTCAGTGCGCAATCGTGATGATTTAGAAACATTTGCAATCATACAAGGAACGAAGCGATACACTTATAGATCAAGTAGTTTCAGTGAAGCAAGAACATATAAGGCAAGTGAACATGAGAAAAAAATTTATTTAAAAGACAATTTTGAAAACTTCATCAAAAACTTTATGTATATAATAATACAAAACTAATTTGGAAAAGAAAAAAAAAACAGATCTTCTTTTTTCGAGAAACGGACTTATAAAATGTTATATGCAAACTCATTGGTTATTTCATTTAAAATTAGAATTATTCGATATTTATTTTGTGAATACGTATAAACAATGTGATAGTTACAATATGAAGACAAGTTTTTCTAGAGGAAAAGTAATATTATATTCTGAATTAACACTTTAATTTTTTCGACTAATGTAATATTAAACATTTGTATCATAAAAAATACGATCAAATAAATCTAACATGATCCTATAACGAATAATAATGACTTTTTTTTTATTTTATTTATTATTCAAGGTTGGTTCACATCATTCCTGTTGGTATGACACTAGAGATTCAGCAATAGCTCAATGGAATAAGCCAAGTACTCAATTTGCTATTATTTTACTTAGTTGTGGAGGATTATTAGCATTATTAACTATTGCATTTTCGATGCTTACATATCTGTTTATCAAGAAACACAGACATCAGCATGGACAAAATCATTTTACGCGTATTTATATTTGATTTGTAAAATAATTTCCAGAAGTGAGAATGCATATTGTTTGATTTCTTTTCTGAAAATCCTAATTCATTCGAAATAAGAAGCAGATAAAAAACTTGTATATTTTTCAGTTTTTCTTTATCATCATATACAAAATATATATTAGTTAAGATCACTCGTTTGATCAATTCAGTGTCAATGCAACATAATTTTAAACAAATGGAATCAGCTAGTAGAAAAGTCTAAAATTTGATTTATAAAAATTATCTCATACTATAACTGAAATAATTATACTCTAACTATAATAAATTAACAATTTCAAAATTCAAAGAATTTCCATTTCATGTCTGAAACAAAACATTCGAATTTCAACCTATTTGAAATTTGGATATAAACACAGGCGAACATCAAGACTATTGATACTTAGGGTTGTCTTAAAGTTTATTGTTTTTCAGACAATAAATTTGTAGAATCTTTTCGAGAGAGATAAGATGCATTAGACCTGTACTGTTTTTTTTATAAAATTCAATAATATTAGAGTGGAAAACGATGACATACATTGCCTATCTGGCTTGAACCACACATGTGAGATATTAAAAATAAAGACGTTGATACACCACTTAGCATGAAAAGGATTGTTTGCATAATACAGCATTCATGATAACTAGCAGATTTTTCAAATGATTCAATGCTATTAATGATGAAATAGAACAGAGTCATCAGCA